CCTCTGTGTGTGAGTGTGTGTGTGTCAAGCCCCGAGTCTGCCGGCCACGTCCGGCCCCAGCCCCTGCCCCCACGCCACCGTGACTTCATTGCCTGGCTCTTGGCGACCGTGCCAGCGCCCTTGCAGACCCTCTTTGGGGTCATTCTGTCCCCAGGTGTAGCGGCCACAGCGCCCACCCCACCCAACGCCTGCCTGTCCTCCACAGAGACCCAGGCAGTGTCCCGCCAGAGGCAGCGTCCAGAGCTGGACAGGTATAGGGGTCCCTCCTACAGCCTACATTTCAGGATGAGGCGTGCTTTTACCCACTGATAAGGTTCCATAAAAACCATGGGCCAAAAAAGTAGTCAGGACCCCTGACTCCAAATATTGGAGCATTCATTGCCAGCATTCAGCCCTCACTTTGTTGCGGCTCAGAGTGTAAAATAAGGATATTCTCTAGCATGCCAGAGGTTACGATTGTGCCTGAAACGACTGAGTAAAAACAAGCAATCAAAAAAGCGAAGTTTCAAGAATTAAATGGCATTGAAATGACAAAAGGATGGTTTCTATTTTCAATTAAAAGTTACCCATACCCTCACCCCCACGCCCATAAGATCTGGTACAACATATATAGTCTTCCTTTTGCATGCTACTATATATTATATAGAAACGGATGATTCAGGTTGAAACATGGAAAGAAGTCTAGCTTAAAAATGAAAAACAACTGGCAGGTATGGCCAGTCTATAATGACGGAGAGCATACCAGTGGTTCCCTCAGGTAGGGTAGAAAGTGGGGATTGACTGCAGAGAGGCACAAAGGAAAATTTGGGGGTGGTGAAAATATTCTACATCTTGAATGGAGGTTACAGGAATGCATGCATTTATCAGAATTCACTGAACTCTACTCTTAAAATTGGTGCATTTATTGTAAGTAGATTATACCTCAATAAAGTTTATTTAAATAAAAGAAATGACTGATGTTTGTGCTATCAATACAAGTCATTTTATCTTTAAAGAATTCCGCACAGCTTTGTCATCTACTGAGAATCTACTTTGTATAGGGCAGGGGTCCTCAAACTTTTTAAACAGGGGGCCAGTTCACTGTCCCTCAGACCGTTGGAGGGCCGGACTATAGTTTAAAAAAAAACTATGAACAAATTCCCTATGCACACTGCACATATCTTATTTTGAAGTAAAAAAACAAAACGGGAACAAATACAATATTTGTATTTGCATGTGGCCCGCGGGCCGTAGTTTGAGGACCCCTGGTATAGGGAATACCCTGGGAAAGATGAACAAGAATGACTCTTGACTCCACAAAGGTAATAAAACTACTAAAGCAACAACCCTGGCCAGTTTGACGCAGTGGATAGAATGTCAGCCTGTGGACTGATAGGTCCCGGGTATGATTCCAGTCAAGGGCACATGCTGGGTTATGTCCCGGGTATGATTCCAGTCAAGGGCACATGCTGGGTTGCTGGATCCCCAGGAGGCAGCCAATCTGTGATTCTCTCTCATCATGAATGTTCCTATCTCTCTCTCCCTCTGCCTTCCTCTCTGAAATCAATAAAAATATATTTTAAAAAAACTACTAAGGCAGCATCTAAAACTAGTCACAATGACACAAGTTACCATGAGATAAATACTTATGTATAGATATATTCTCCTGACCATCCACTGTATTTTTCTAGCTTAATTTAATACCTGCAAAAAGCACCTGAGACCGTAACCACAACAGATGAGGGAAATGAGGAACAGATGTGTGCTGTGACTTGCCCAGGGTCACACAGTTAACCTAAAGGACTGGCTTTAATTCAAACTCAGGCTATTTTGCCCCTGAACCTGTGCTCTCAGTCACCATCCTATGTTCCTTCCATAGTACACCCTCAGGAGAGTACTGCAAAAATGAGAAGTCACCAGTTATCTATTCAGAGGGTCTGAAAGGTGATTTAAATGCTCTAAATGCCAATAAATAAATAAATAATAAGGAGAGAGAGAGAGAGAGAGAGAGAGAGAGAGAGAGAAGAAAGGTTTGGATTTTATTCTGTTGATAATTGGTTTCCTTTTGGTAATTTCCTTTTTTTAAAAAAAATTGACAGTGATTCAGTGAAAAATTTCTGGCAACAATCTGAATGAGGGATGTTAAGGAGACATCAAAGGCAGGAGAGCCAGAATAGTCTAGGAAATAGACTCAAAATGTCTGTCCAAGGGTAGGAGTATTTGGGTGGGGAGAGAGGGACAGATTCCAGAAAGACTTAGATAAAGACACACTGATCTCAGGTTGCCTTGCTAAGGTTGAGGGGTATGTTTTAGATGTATCCCTGGTTACACAAGCAGAAGAGAATTGGAACCGTCCACAAAAATAGGATAGATAGAATGAGGAGTAGCTTTGAAGGGAAAAAAAGCACATTAATGAACCCAGTTTGATAATATAAAGTTCAAAGTATTCTAATGACCTGACTCCATTTATATGAAGCTAGTTTTTCCAAAGTCATTGAATATATCATTATTCAAAAGGTACACATATAGAAATATATTATTATCTGACACAATTTATAAGCTGAAACACAGTATCTATATTTTAAATCATTACCTTAAAATAGTTCACAAATCAGCCAAATCGGCTTACTTTTTATTTTTATCCTAAAGATAAAAATAAAATAGGCTTACTTTTTATTTTTATCCTAAAGATAAAAATAAAGAGTAGCCAATTAAAAATATCATTCTCTATAATTGCTTAAAAATTATTAGGGTTAAAATTCAATTTGAAAAAAAGATATTTTCCAAACTTCTCTTTTGCATGTGTGTAAGTAGAAAGTAAAAATTTATTCATATATTTTTATCAAGAAAATACAAAATAGCCCACAGGCAAGCATAAAGTATTTAGTGATGCTTATAGTTTTAAGATTGTTCTTTGTAAAAATTAAAATGAATTAAAAACATATTACTTAAATAATACTATTTTTAAGGAATAGATATAAGAAAATAACTGCATAATTCTGGGTCCATTGTGTTTAAATTATTGAAAAAGGAACATTTAAAATTTTCAATCCATTCAAATATTTCAATTATAAGTGAGATAAAAGCATATCTTTAAAAAGCATTCTCAAAGACTATATAGCTATAAGTTTAAATCTTATCAATAAACTTCCCTTGGGTACCATTGAGACATATCCAACTTTTGAAGATATAACAATTACTTAGAGCTTGATTTTTGCCTAAGTATAACACATGGAAGTGAAGTCATTTTAAGCTGCCTACCCAATTGTGGTTTTAATACACTATTATGAACACTCATCCTGCAATGTGAGATCTTATCAAACCTATGATTATTAGTTCTATCTTGGGTCTGTCTATAAGATGCCAAATTAGATAGCATTTTCTTGAAAGATTCTTGGTCAGGTTGAAGTTTGCTATGGTAAGTAGTCATTGTGAAGACTTAGGTTTAGCTGTAGTTTTTATTTTTAACATATTCTTTAACCTCTTTGGGAACCATTTCACATGTTGTAACAATAAAATAACAATGCCTGCTGTGCTATATCATAGTGGTTTGCTAAGTTTATTAATATACATGTCAGATCTTTTGGGTATTCCACATCTTTAATATTTAACACATCTAAGTATAAGAAACCAGTGCCCAACTGAAATGAAGATTTTCTCCAAAGGTGCAATTTATGGTTCCCACAGAGACTGGCACAAGGAACATATGCTGTTTCTGGACCCCTATCATGAGGCTCTGTGTGAGTGTTAATAATACTGTTGGATTCTAAGTGTTTGACCACTATACCTCTAAATATCACAATTCACCAGATAAAAATTTCCACCACAGATCAATTTAGTCAAACCCAGAGTTAACAATGTACATTTGGCAAAAGATCTGTAAAAAAGTAAAAAAGGAAAATTGAATGATATGTAAGGTTGGGAAGAATAATCTGATTGCAACATTCTCAGTATTGAAATCAAAGAAACCAAAGTGGGACATCAGCACCCCAGTGTAAGGGAATTTCCACAAATGGGTAAGATTGAGGTTCCATAAGGGACTTTTCTATTGATGCTTCTTAACCTGTCTCTTAGAACTCGAACATAAAAGCAAACAAACATGGGTTTTATTTTTCCTCCATGACACCTCACAGCCCCTCTAGAGTGATAAGTAGGTAATAACAAATGTGCCAATTAAAGGAATAAACAAATCAATAAATATCCACAACAGTGCATAGTAAACTTTATAAAAATTATAAATTTTTATTTTTAGAGATTAATTAGAAATTATTTGCCTTAGTTTTTCAGCTTTCCAGATATATTTCATGTTATTGGGATTGAGCAAATATCAATCTAACACAGAATTTTTGGACTGGAACCCGGATTCTTTGTCCACCGGAGTCAAAGAATGGATCCATGGGCAAAAGATGGTATAGCAAAGGTGGAAATTTATTAAAGAACAAAACAAATCAATAAATATCCACAACAGTGCATAGTAAACTTTATAAAAAATATAAATTTTTATTTTTGGAGATTAATTAGAAATTATTTGCCTTAGAAGTCTTTCAGCTTTCCAGATATATTTCATGTTATTGGGATTGAGCAAATATCAATCTAACACAGAATTTTTGGACTGGAACCCGGATTCTTTGTCCACCGGAGTCAAAGAATGGATCCATGGGCAAAAGATGGTATAGCAAAGGTGGAAATTTATTAAAGAGCCTCACATGTCCCATGTGAGGTTCTCCCCACTCCTTCCTTATAGTTTTCCTATTCCCTTTGGGCTTTCTTCTTCTCCTTCTGGATGAAGGGCTTCCTTCTTTTTATTTTGGGAATATAGACCTTTTGCTGTTCCCACCTCCCTCATTCTATGGAAATGTACATGTTGCAGCTTTTCAGCTGCCCGATTCTATGGAAATATACCTTCTGCTGGTCCTCTTGATTTCTAAAATTTCCTAAAACCTGTCTTTTTCACCCCCCAAAATTCCTGTTTCAAATCTTTTACACTTAATTTTTTAA